TGCCCCGCCCCGCCCGGCTTTTGCACGGGGCTCCCAGCGCCAATCGCAGCCCCGCCTCCCAGTCGCTCCCTTGCCCCCGCCCCCGCTCCCGCCACGCTTCCGTCCAGTGCTCAGCCGGAAATTCAGAAAATACCGGACATTGCATGTGTCTGGTATTTTCTGAATTTTTCTACCGGACAGAGGGCGCAAAAACCGGACACCAGGCAACCCTGCCGTCAACCCAGAATTCAGTAGGCCTGGTCCTACAGCCACACACATGCACACTTACCCACTTATAATTAGCACTGAGGAGAAAGAAAGACAAAAAAAATTGTTCACCTCTCCACAACTTCTTGGCCATTCCAGCAAAGGGTGTCGTTCTGCACAGCGGAGCTGTGGTGGCAGATGTACTCCGGCAAGCTGCTGTAAAAACTGCTGTGAGATTTCAGTTTCATAATGAGCTCCCTGAAACGCAAGCGAAAAAAGGTATAAATGAAAGAGGAACAGAGTATCGCCGGGTCAGCCATGTTTTACGAGGCTGCTCTTAGCAACAAATGCATACTGGAGTCATGCGCAACTTCCCGCCTGCCAGAAACACCACGACAAGTGAAAGGTGAAGCATCAGCCTCGTTTATGGAGACGTCTGCCATTTTGCATGTCGCCCTTCATGCCATTTAGGCCACGTTTATACTTATCAGAGGATTGACACTCCAGAGGTCGATCTTCTTGTGTTCAATGTGGTGGGTCTGATAAGGACCTGCTAAATCGAACGCTGAGGGCACCTCACAAGGAGTAAGGGAAGCCAACAGAAGCATTTATTATTCCCCTTTATTCAGCACTGGTGAGGCCACATCTGGAGTATTGCGTCCAGTTCTGGGGCCCCCACTACAGAAAGGATGTGAACACCTTGAAGACGGTTCACCGGAGGGCGACAAAACGAGGAGGGGGCTGGAGGCCTACGAGGAGAGGCTGAGGGATTTGGGTTTGTTTAATCTGCAGAAGAGAAGAGCGAAGGGGGATTTGGTAACAGCCTCCAACTTCCTGATGGAGAGTTCTAAGGAGGATGGAGAGAGGCTGGTCTCAGTGGTGGCAGAACAAGGAGCAATGGGCTCAAGTTGCAGTGGATGGGGTTGGATATTAGGAAAAACTATTTCCCTAGGCGGGCGAGGAAGCACTGGGATGGGTTCCCTAAGGAGGAAGTCGAATCACCATCCCTAGAGGTGTTTAAGTTGCGGCTTGACAAAGCCCTGGCTGGGATGATTGAATTGGGGTTGGTCCTGCTTTGGGCAGGGGGCTGGACTCGATGACTCCTAAGGTCTCTTCCAGCCCTAGGATTCTACGAGTCTATGATTTCCCACATCGACCTCCCACTCTGGGGACGGCACCAAAGCTGGAATTAAGCTACGTCGACTCCAGCTATGCACTTAATGTAGCTAGAGCTGTGTGTCTTAATTCCAACTTCTCCTCTAGCGGAGACTTAGCAGGCCTGAGTCACGTCCTATCTGCTATTCCCAGAGCCAAGCATTGCTTAGTTGGGCAAAACTCCCACTGGCTTCAAAGGCTGCAAGAAGCAGCAGGCCCGATCCTGCGATCACTGAGGTGATAGTTAGCACCCTGGCGGAGGATTGTGTCAGGGACCCCCAGAGCTAAACCGATGAGCTGCCACAGTCTGAGTGGAAGAACTAAGGCTCCATAGCCAGGCCCTGGAACACACACTCACCAGGAGGTTCACACCTGAGCTTCACTTTACACCTCAGGCGCCTCAGAAGTCAAAGGGCCTACTCACCCATGTCAGGTTAAGTAGGGGCTTCCAGGTGACAGCCCGCGTTTGTAACTCACTCGTAAAACATGGACACATTGATACCCCAGGCTCTGACCATCCCGGCACAAGGCATGCCACGTAAAATGAAATTTCAGTCCTGCTCCCAAAGTTCCCCAAAGTGGGGCGGCTTCAGATCCGGGGCTTTCTACGAGCCCATTCTTGGCCTCGCCCTATGAAGTGCTAACACAGATTTTAAGCATACAATTTTGTAACTCACTCGTAAAACATGGACACATTGATACCCCAGGCTCTGACCATCCCGGCACAAGGCATGCCACGTAAAATGAAATTTCAGTCCTGCTCCCAAAGTTCCCCAAAGTGGGGCGGCTTCAGATCCGGGGCTTTCTACGAGCCCATTCTTGGCCTCGCCCTATGAAGTGCTAACACAGATTTTAAGCATACAATTGGTTGACCCGCTCTAGTCCAGCATCTTGGGGACCTGACCAGAGAATTTGCCGGACCACGGGAGGCCAATGTTGTCTAGCAGTATTAGCAACACTCCCACTATTTACTGGGCTCTGAGAAGACATTGAGGGGTCAATTAGAGCTAAACAACAGCACAAAACACTGAGCTCCAGGACGGCTGGTTGTAAATAAACTTTATGGCCCGCAGGAAACTGGGCCACACCCATGATGAGTGGACATCTGGCTCACTAAAATCCTGCCGGACCATGGATATTGCTGGACTAGAGTGTGCCGGACTAGAGAGGTACTTGGATTTTGCAAATTCCTCTTTGCATATGCAAATGTGTGACTGAGAGATTTGCAGGTACAGGTCTGACAGGCCCATCGCTTTCCTGTGGTCATTTGCATTGTGCTCCAGGAGGGACGCAGCAGACCAGCTGTTGCCAGACACGCAGAAGACAGGGAGGACAAGAACTGGACAGAACCCCCCGGCTCTCACACCAAGGGTCCTCAGATCACTTGATCCAGGCAGCTAACCTCCAAAAGAGCTGCTGGACAGGCAGTCAGGGAGACAGAACAAGGTGGTCAGCTGATCTCAGCTTAGGGTGTTACCTTTGTGGGCGGGGAGGGAACCAGGCAGCAGTCCTATAAAACTCTCTCACCCATTAAACGACAACAGCTGTGAAGGGCAGTGGACTATGAACAGCAAACAGTGGAGGAGGTGACACTTGTACTCCTGGCCTCTTGGCTCCCGGAGCGGCTCACCTTGACCTAGCCTCCGGGGTGCCTTGCGACAGTCTCAATAGCCTCCCTCTGCCCCCAGAATAGAGACATCTCCACGTATCCCTTGCGGTGGCAATAAGCTCTCCCGTGTGCTCTCTAGGTCTTCATCCGTAAAGCTGGATCGGAGGCTGGGACCAAGGGGTTGTTGGGTGGTAGAGGGAGAACAGGGATAGGGCAGAATGCGTTTAAATTGGGGCTGGAGAGTCCACGAAAATAAATGGAAACGAACTAAAATAAATCAAGGCACAAATGAAGGAAATACAACCAGAGCATGGCGTAGAAAACCACGGGGCGTGGGCTGCGGGAACGCTCTTTTAATGCACAAAATCGTGGAGGGGAGGGCTCTAAGTTCCCAGGGGGAGATGGAGATGTGCTCCATACCTTACATCAGTATTGTGACCCCACCCTCACCAGACGGGCCCCCCTCCTCCCGACCCTTTTTCCTCCCCCTTGTACTTTGGCCATCTCTTGATTGGTAAACACGACATCTCCTTGGGAGCGGGGACCAGGTGGTGAGTGTTTGTACAGCGCCTAGCACATCTGAGGGCACTCCTGCGGGGCAAATCATCCCTAGATTGGTACAATCTGCCTTTCGGCACTCCCCACCCCCTTATTTTTAAAAGCAGTAAATCCACTTCCGACTGCTGCAAGGCCGTTACAGATCGTAGCTGTGAGCTCCACTCCACCCAGCAGGGGGCAGACAAAACAAAGAGAAAGCTGTCTGGATGCTACCGGAAGAAGCCTTCCCTTTTGCTTTATTTTTAATAGGGCGTGCAGCTTCTCGCCCATAATCAGATTCACACAGCCTCTGCAACGAACAGAGACAGAGTGGAATCGAAGTCGTCTTTCCCCCGCTCGGTATTGATGGGAAGTCACATCATGCAGCATTTTTGGCTCCTGAAAGATGTCGGTGCTGCTCTTTAGCACCGCCTCTCCAGCAATAAACAAGCGTTAGTTAACAAGTAAAGCCCTGCTAACGTCATTAAAAACACATCACAAAGCCCCAGCGTCTTTCCCTGCAAAAAACACACGGGACGATTTACGGCTTCGCTTTCAACTGGCACTAGGCGATCTTGTCATGGCCATTTGTTTTCAATGTGTTTCTTGGGGGGCTTTCTTTTCTTCGGGGTGCCCTCCCCGTGGGGCCAGAACAAGCGCGGATTCTGGCCTGGTCAGGCATTGCTGCATTGAATTCCCCTGAGAACAGCCTCATAGGACAACGTGCGTTTGTGGCTCCCTAGGGCCCGTGGAAGACAAGACTCCCCTACAGGCATCAAAAATGGAGATCGCTAATCACGTCCAGGTCCTTCACCTGGAGATCCTTCACTCCAGGTCCATGGCAACATGCAGGGTTACTACGGTGCAACTAGACCTCATGCCAAGCCAGCTCCCCCCTCCCTGGAGTCTCCTCTATTCCCCCAATTGTTATTTTGTTCCTTTCTCCTCCCTAACTCTAGCCAGGTGGCTTAGTCTCTGTTGCTTCCCTAGACCTAGCCTGGCTCCTCTGAAGACAGAGACAGACCAAACCCACGGCACCGTTTCCAGCGGAATGGATATTCTTACCGACTTGGGTTTCCTGTATTCTTTTCTCCTTTTCCGCCACCCCCCCTTTCTTCTCACCTGTTTCCCGCGCTATTCTGTTTCCCAGAACCGTAGGAATGCAGACCTGGAAGGGAGCTTGAAAGGTCATCCAGTCCCGCCCCTTGTGCAGAGACAGGAGAAAGGAAACAGCATCCCGGACATCGACAGTAGTTTGTCTACACTGTTCCGAAATGCCTCCCGTGATGGGGATGGCAACACCTCTCCTGGAAGCCCTCCCTAAGGGCAAGAGACTGGCGGAGGGGGCAGGGAGGAGCAAGCAGGGGACAAGGGTCTCAGATGGCAGTGGGAGAGGTCTAGGTTGGACAGTAGGAAAAACTATTTCCCTAGGAGGGTGGGGAAGCGCTGGGATGGGTTCCCTAGGGATGGGGTGGAATCTCCATTCCTGGAGGTTTTGAAGTCCTGGCTTGACCAAGCCCTGGCTGGGATGATTTAGAATCCTAGAATCCTAGGGTGGAAGAGACCTCAGGAGTCATCGAGTCCGGCCACCTGCCCAAAGCAGGACCAACCCCAACTCAATCAGCCCAGCCAGGGCTTTGTCAGTTGAGTTAGGGTTGGTTCTGCTTTGGGCAGGGGGTTGGACTTGGTGACTCCTGAGGTCTCTTCCAGCCCTAGGATTCTATGTTCTATGATTCTAAGAGGTGGTGTTGGCATAGAGCCTCAGGAGAAGAGAAGGCGTGGAAGTGAGGCCTCAGGAAAAAGGCCAGGAGCAGAGGACAGGGCCACAGTTTGGGCACCGGTGGCCCCCAACTTCTAGGGAGCTTCTAGTGCTCCCAGATTAAGCCCCTAATGCTAGACGTATCTCCGGTGGACATGGAGGACAACGGATGATGATCATCTTTGTAACCGCCGTTAGCATATCTGAAGGCCATTATCAAGTATCTTCGCCGTTTTCTTCTTTCAAAACTAACCCTGCCCAGGTTTTTAACCTTCCCTCCCAGGTCAGGTTTGCTAGAACTTTTATCAGTGTTGTTGCTCTTCTCCGGCACATACGTCTCTCGTGCTCTGGGGGCTGTCAGGTTTCATTCTAATTTCAGTGGTTGGGTTTAATCAGACAGTGCTGCCTGATATACAGAAGGTCAAACAAGATTATCTGGGGCTCCCTTCTGGCCTTAAACTCTCTCTCCAATTTGTCCATGTCTTTTCTAAATAACTGGACCCAGCACTGCAACCAAGGCCGCATCAGTCTGAGCAAGGTGGGACAATTCCCTCCCGTGTCTTGCATACAATGCTCATGTGAATACAACCCAAAATGATATTAGCTTCCTGCACACTCGCCTCACATCGCTGCCTCGTGTTCAATTTGAAATCCTCTATAACCCTAGATCCTTGTCAAGGGGTGACCCACTCTTGCAGGTCCCTTGACCCTACTCTGTTTTGATTGGGTGACTCACCAGGCACCACGTCACTTTATGGGACAGATCCACAGCCTCAGTTCATACCCGTGACCCTCTATTCAGGGTATTATGGCCCAGTGGCCCAAGTCTATCTGTAAGTCCCTGCTCTTTAGGGTAATACGGCCCAGTGACCTAGTCCTTATGCATGCCCCCGCTCTTCAGGGCAGTACAGCCCAAGTCTATATGCAAGTCCTTGCTCTTCAGAGCATTACGGCCTATTCCTTATGCCAGCCCCCGCTCTTCAGGATAGTATGGCCCAGCGTCCTATTCCTTATGCAAGCCCCTGCTCTTCAGGGTAGTACGGTCCAGTGCCTCCCGTGTCTTGCATACAATGCTCATGTGAATACAACCCAAAATGATATTAGCTTCCTGCACACTCGCCTCACATCGCTGCCTCGTGTTCAATTTGAAATCCTCTATAACCCTAGATCCTTGTCAAGGGGTGACCCACTCTTGCAGGTCCCTTGACCCTACTCTGTTTTGATTGGGTGACTCACCAGGCACCACGTCACTTTATGGGACAGATCCACAGCCTCAGTTCATACCCGTGACCCTCTATTCAGGGTATTATGGCCCAGTGGCCCAAGTCTATCTGTAAGTCCCTGCTCTTTAGGGTAATACGGCCCAGTGACCTAGTCCTTATGCATGCCCCCGCTCTTCAGGGCAGTACAGCCCAAGTCTATATGCAAGTCCTTGCTCTTCAGAGCATTACGGCCTATTCCTTATGCCAGCCCCCGCTCTTCAGGATAGTATGGCCCAGCGTCCTATTCCTTATGCAAGCCCCTGCTCTTCAGGGTAGTACGGTCCAGTGGCCTAGTCCATATACGAGTCCCTGCTCTCCAGGGCAATACGGCCCAGCAGCCCAGGTCTATATGCACGTAGGAAAACTCTCCCGCATGGGGTACGTAGGGAGGGCCCTGTTGGCAGTGGCACGGTTCACTATCTGCTCAGTGGAGAATCCTGCCACAACACACTGAGCACCCCGGGGAGCAATCCCCCACCCTGGGCTACTTCCTACCATCACCTGGCAGGTGTCTTCTCCGTAGTCTCACTCCGGGTTTGTGGCTCCTTGGGTAGCCCCTCTCGGGCTGGCTGCTGCTGTGCAGTCTGGCTGCACTTCCTCCTCTGTCTCTGGAGTGCTCTCGGCGCCTGCTTCCCCCTCAGCAGTCAGCCCGACTGAGCTGCTCCAGAGGCATTTACAGTCCCTCTCCAAATGCAGCATGCTCAGCAGGGCTGTGGGGGCGGGGCCCTGTCAGCCAGCTGGGCCAAGATAACTCCATTGGCTTCCGTGCGGAGCGGCTATCCCCCGTCACAATCCTCTCCCATGCATCTCCCGCTCGGCCGGTTATTCCCTAGTTTGTAGCTGTTCATTCGATTTTTCCTTCCATGCAGACCAATTCTCCAATTTGTAAAGGTTCCTTTGAATTCTAACCCTGTCCTCCAACGCGTTCACCATCCCTCTTGTAATGGGGCGGCGCTCACCTCTCACGAGCGCCCCCTCTGGCCGAGTGCATGCGCCTGCGCCCTCTCAGCCCTGGAGCCTCTCTTTGGCCACTCACGAGTCACTCAGCGTGTGCGCAATCTCACAAACACCTCCTGGGGTACACATCATAGCTAACGGGGACCCACCTTAGGCCTATCTGCTAGTGTCCCTCTTAGTTGGTTTCCCCAAGAGAATGGTGCCCCCAGGCCTTCCTCTCCTGGAGACGATATCTTTGCCCTTCTCTTAGGGCTTTATACATCTAGCACGGCCCATCTTGGACCATCTTCAATAGCTCTCTACACAGAGCTGCCTGTGGTGCTGCCACTCTCTCAGCCAGCCAGCCCCCAGTCTGCACACCTTCAGGGCTCAATAGACACTGACTGCTATTCTGGTCTCCAGCTCCTTTTATAGGCCTTCCTGTCCCCTGATTGGCTCATACCTCCTGCAGCCACTCTACCCTGCTTGGAGGACTACTGTCCCCAAGACAGATCCCATGGCAGGATTCCCATGACGTACGTCCTTCCGACATGACAGCAAAACATTGATAATTATTCTTCGAGCATGGTTTTCATGCAGCTGTGCACTGACCCGATCATAATTTCATCTAGACCTCATTTGCTCCTGAGAATGTCTCATGGGATTATGTCAAAAACCACACTAAGATCAACTATATCACACCTACTGCTTCCCCACCATCCACCAGTAACCCTGTCAAAGAAGGAATGAAGCGGGTCCGGCATGATTCACCAGACCCATGCTGGCTATTCCATCCTTTAGTTGCTTACAGACAGATTGTTTGATCATCTTTTCCAGAAGCTTTCATCCCTCCTTCCTTTCTACTTCTCCTCCCATGATCTCCCATCTTCTAGCCATCAATTCTTTCGAGGTCCTGTCCTGCAAGCCACTCCCATCGTATTATCGTGGACTTGGGGAGTGTTAGGCACCAGATCCAGCAGGAAATATGTTTTCTTGGGATGTGGAGACTCTGTCGCAGAGGGGAGGAGAGATACACTTCCAATCTTAGTAGGCGCCGGCTCAGTTAAAGCCCAAATGGGTTGCAGCAGGTTTCACCAAATCCACAGCTCCTCAAAATTACAATAAGGCCTCGCTTTCAGAGCCAGGCCAGGGAAGAGAACAGGAGAACACAGATGATTATCACACACTTACAAGCAGTGTCCGCTCAGTCCATACTAATGCCGCCTGACTGAAAGCAAAAGGAGAATTTGGCTCAGGCAACATTTACCGATGATTTCATCCATTTTGTCCTTGAGCTTATCCACATGTACGCAAATGTCAAATGTTCTCATTCCGTTGCTGCAGCCATTCTTTTATTTAAAAACGCAAGTGCTCATACAGGGCGCCCTTGTAGCCAAGAAGGCTAATGGCATGTTAGGGTGCATTAGGAGGAGCATTGCCAGCAGATCGAGAGAAGAGATTAGTCCCCTTTACTGGGCACTGGTGAGGCCACATCTGGAGTATTGTGTCCATTTCTGGGCCCCCCACTACGGAAAAGATGCAGACACATTGGAGAGGGGCCAGCGGAGGGCAACCACAATGATTAGGGGGCTGGAGCACATGACCTAGGAGGAGAGGCTGAGGGATTTGGGTTTGTTTAGTCTGCAGAAGAGAAAAGTGAGGGGGGATTTGATAGCAGCCTCCTGAAGGAAGGTTCCAAAGAGGATGGAGAGAGGCTATTCTGAGTGGTGATGGATGGCAGAATAAGGAGAAAGGATCTCAAGTTACAGTGGGGGAGGTCTAGGTTTGATATTAGGAAAAACTATTTCCCTAGGCGGGAGGGGAAGCGCTGGGCTGGGTTCCCTAGGGAGGGGGTGGAATCTCCATCCCTAGAGGTGTTTAAGTCCCGGCTTGACAAAGCCCTGGCTGGGACGATTGAGGTGGGGTTGGTCCAGTTTTGCGCGCGCGCACGCGCGCGCACACACACACACACACACACACACACACATTCTCTCTCTCTCTCCCCCCTCCCCAGCCTGTTTAAAAATCAATGAGAGGAAAAAGCGCTTTCTCCCTGCCCCACCACTAGGATCCTGCTAAATTACAACATCTGTTTACAGAGCGAAACCTACCTGGACAAGTGCTGGGTGCCATGCCACAAACACAGACACCTGCTCTGATTTTTAACACACAAAAAACCCCTGCTGCGAACATTCCTTGATGTTAAGGAGTTGGGCATAAAAAAAACCCTCAAAACCCTCCATACTACAGGCTAAGGTTCACATCAACTGCTTTGGCAGCCTTGAAAAGCAGCATTTCTTACAGCGTCCTGGAATAGCAAAGATGGGAATTAGGAGACAGTTTTATGATTAAAAGGGAAACACACTTTCATACAACAGTCGTGGAAACATGCAACTCTCCCCCATGTGGGTGAATTTCAAAGTTTCACATCAGAGTAGTTTCCTTCCTCGAACATACCAGCCATATACATTCAGAGTCCACTTTGTCTCACCTTCTCCGACTAGACAGGGTTTCTTCATGGTCCATGTGAGCCACCTTCAGTACTTTCTTTTCAATGAAAAGTTCTTCAGGGTTCTGGGCTGATCTGTACTGTCTCTGCTGAGAATGGCCACAGAACTTGCTAATCTGAAAAAAAAAAAGCAACACAGACGCATGATGAGCCAATATGCAGCATGCCACACACTAGAAACAAAAAGCTGGCCTTGTCTACCCTAAAAGGAAAATCGTCCCTGCAGCGATCAATTTTCTGGAATTTGATTTAGTGAGTCTAGTTAAGTCTCGCTAAATCAATCTCAGAGGGTGTCCCTGCCAGTGTCCGGTACTCCTCCTTTTGCGAGGAGTAAGGGAAGCCAACGATGGGAGCATTTGCTCCCATTGGTCTCCCGCTGTGGGGATTCCACCATGCTCGGATGGGAGCATTTGCTCCCATTGGTCTCTCGCTGTGGGGATTCCACCATGCTCAACTTGAGCTGCATATTCTAAGTAGCTGGAGTTGTGTATCTTAAGCTGAGCTGCCGGGTTTAGTGAAGACCTGGCTGGAGAGATGTCCTTCCCTCAGCACGTATGCCCGTCTAAAAATGGTACAATAAAGATGCAGGATAAAATTTTCAAAAGCACCTCAGAGACTTGGGAGTCAAAGTCACCTTACAAAGTGACTTAGGCACTTCAGCATTAATAAAGAGTTAGGTGTCTAAATACCTTTCAGCACCTGAGCCTGTGGGACTTTCAAAAATCAGATGCAGACTCCCAAGTCACTTACGTTTTTGAAAATTTTATCTGCTACATGACCCCAGAGGAATTTGCGGGTGCAACCTGTAAAGCACAAGAACTTGCAGCAGCAAAACTGAAGTATTTCAACCAATTTCTTACGCTGAGGCAAATGGACTCGACCTATTTCTGGATCCCATGTAGTAAGAAAGGCTTTTTCACAAATGACTAGGGATGCAAGCGACTAGTCAACTAATCCCTCGACTAGTTGCTTTCCCCCCCCCCCCCCCCCCCCCCCCCCCCCTGAGGGGGGGGGGGGGGAGCAGCAGCCGGTGCTTTGGGGAGCTGGCTTAAAAGCTGGTTCCCCCCAGCACCGTCTCCTCAGGGAGCAGGGGAGGCAGACGGGACTGGGCACGACCCAGGAATTATCTGATTCCCAACTTGCACCTACTTCCAGACCTCCTTCTGCTTTTTAAATGCATTTAGAGCCAACAGGGGCGGGAGCCAACCCTACTGCAGCTCCCTGCTTATCCACTAATCGACCCACAGAGAAAAGTCGAAGGATTGTGCATTTTTTGCCTCTCTACAGCAGTTCCCAGTCAGAACTATAAAGCTCCATTTTCCAAAAGCAAGGTGTTTTTGCTAGCCTGTCTGAGCCATATCCCGACCCAGCATAACTCCAGCCATGTTGCAGGAGAAGGGCGCCAATGCATCCCAGCCACCCACTGTGCCAATTCCGTGTGTTTAGGTTTTTTGAATCATACATTTCAGGTTCTGCCTACTCGTCTTCTGGTTTGTGAGCCACTAGGATTCCTACTTTTAAACAACCCCTGACAAACAGCAAAGCCAGAAACTTTCATTTACTTACCAATAAAAAATAAGCAGAAACTGGCCTATAATCACTAGACTCTGGGAGGAGGGGCTTTAAGTGCAGCACAAAATACTGCAAGACTCGTCACAAACCAATGAGTTAGCTGATTCGGTCACGGCGTGGCTTATAATTATAAGATTATAATCTTCCTGCCTTTTTTGTAGCCACTGTAAATGATATGCTACTTTCTGTAGCCAGCGTAAATTACATGCTAGCTTTGCGGGAATGCAACAATGAAAAGTTTCAACTGAAAACTACTCCACAGCCAACCATCTCAGGAACTCCTAATCCACATTGCCCAATTTTAGCCTATGGGACAGCTTTATGGTAGGGAATATATGGCCAGAAATAACTCGAGATGAAAACCACAGAACAGCATCTATTGCTCTCTGACTATTCGGCTTCCCGACAGCCATCCATTTGACTGTCCTATCCACGAGTGCAAGACCCCACCAGCTAAAGCCATTAAATCTGGAGGGATATTGGGTAAAATGTGTGACGGACAGACTGCAGCAATTAGGACTGGGTTTAATTAGAGAGGACCCAGCCTAGGGGAGTGTCTAAGGAGAGGCAAAAAGAAGAGTTGGCCCATGTGCTGGTTCTCTGAATTGGTCAGCCTCTCGTGAGCAAAATCTCTATAGCATTATCAAGCTGTAAAACTCTACAGTACCAGTGGGGCATCTCCACTTAGAATCATAGAATCATAGAACTGGAAGGGACCTCGAGAGGTCATCGAGTCCAGTCCCCCGCCCTCAAGGCAGGATCAAGCTCCGTCTACACCATCCCTGACAGATGTCTATCTAACCTGTTCTTAAATATCTCCAGAGAGGGAGATTCCACCACCTCCCTTGGCAATTTATTCCAATATTTGACCACCCTGACAGTTAGGAATTTTTTCCTAATGTCCAATCTAAACCTCCCCTGCTGCACTTTAAGCCCATTACTCCTTGTCCTGTCCTCAGAAACCAAGAGGAACAAATTTTCTCCTTCCTCCTTGTGACACCCTTTTAGATATTTGAAAACCGCTATCATGTCCCCCCTTAATCTTCTTTTTCTGAATGCTACTGCATTCAGTGGTTCCTAACCGCCGGGCCATGGCCCATTAGCTGACAGGCCACGGTGGCTTTGAGACCTGGGGCCAGAAGAGCCGCGCAGCAGGGGGGCAGGCGGCTGCTGCGGCCATGGCCAGAAGAGCCACGTGGTGGGGGGCAGGAGGAGAGAGCGTGTGCGCCTCCAACGGCCACTCCCCCTGCCCGCGTGGCTGATTTTGCTGCCGATGGGGGCAGGAAGAGGCAGAGTAGGAGGCGCCTTCCTCCCTCCCACCTAGGTAAGTTGGCGGCCCAGTTGGCGCTCTGTGCTCTTCCCCTACCCCCGCCCTTCTTCTACCTATGGGGGTGTGCTAGGGGAGGGAGGGACATGACACCAATGGCCACTCCCCCTGCCCACGCAGCAGTGACAACCACACTCCCTACAGGGGGCAGCCTCGCTCTGGGGAGTGTGGGGGTGAGCTTGGGGTAAAGGGGTGTTGGGTGAGGTTAAGTGGTCAAAGGGCATGGGGTGGAGGGGTGGAGGCCAAAGGGTTTTCGGCACTGGGGAGCAAGGACTGGGTTGGGACCAGGCAGACAGATAACATTTTATTTCCACATTTACATATTCATGATTTGCATAATGAATATGCAAATATGCAAATACAATGTTGCCAGTCCACCTAATGTTTGTGAACGGGTTTGCCGGTCCCCCATGGGAAAACGGTTGGGAACCAGTGACTGCATAAACACAAACTCCCTAATGTCCAAAAACGCCACTGAAGGAAGATTTTCCTCACATCACTATACAACCTGAAACCCTAGTTCTATAATCTGATTCCCCTGCACCCCTCTTAAAAATTCAGAGTTAAAAATAATAACAATGTTTACTAGTCTTCCAGATTGTGAGACTGTAGGATTCCTGCTTTATCATCATGGATTTGTCATCAGAGTTGTGGGACACCACAGAGTTTCCCATGGAACAGGCTCAGAGGGGTAGCTGCATTAGTCTGTAACTGTAGAAACGAGTGGTCCTGTGGCACTTTAGAGACTAACAAGATGAGTTGGGGTGGAAATAACAGAAAGCAAGATATGTATAACAGCAGAAGTACCTGTCAATTGTAGGACCACTGTTAATGAGGTTAATTAAGTGGGCTGGATATGTCCCATTCATAGCTTTTGAAGAGAAAATGTGGATGTTAAAAGTAGGAGAAATTGGCTTTGTAATGCTTTGGAACAGGGGTCTGAGATCAGAGCTCAGTTAGTATTCACCAGCTGTGCAATAAAAACCATCAATACATTACATAGTATGGCTCCAGCCAAATAATACCAGCACGGACTCTTGTGTTAATATCACCAATTAGCTCACTGGACATTGATTTGGTAACCTGGCAAATAGCAAGAAAAAAAAGTGAGCCAGACAGGGTGTGATTTTCCTAGTTCGTGAAAGGTTGAGATTTTGAAATATTTTCCCATTCAGACACAGGATGAAAAGTTGAAATCTGAACTATTTCCACGAATTGCTCGCTCAAAATACATTCTCATCATCACGTTGACTGACACGTCGTCTTTCAAACATGTCAAAAGAGTTTGTTTCGATTTTGATTTTTAAAAATTCTTTTTAGTAGAAAGTAACTAAAACGTCAAACAAAAAATCATTTAAAACTGAAAAACTAAACTTTGTTTTGAAAGCATCAAGCCTGGGTATTCAAACAATCAAACTCCCCTTCTCCAAATATTTTTAAGCCAATCTCATGAGCTTCTTGGCATCAGACGAGGGATGTAAGTGAGGAGTCGAGTCTACTCCTTGACTACTTGCATTTCCCCCCACCCCGTGCTGCCTCTGTATCAGAGGCAGCAAGGGTGGAGGGAAGCAGGAACCGGTGTTGGCTTGCTCAGTTTTGGCTCGCACTGGGTCTGGGACCTACCTCTGCTATGGCTCTGCAGTTTAAATGTAGTAAGAGCCGGGCTGCCTGCATGAGCTAGGACAGAGCACCTTCCCTAATCAACTAATTGTGGTGTTGATACAATGTTTATCGACTGCACAATTAGCCAGTTACCCACCTCTTAACATCCTTACATCAGACATGTTATTTTTGAGCACTTAGGGTAAAACAGAAAGGGGTGGCTGTGTTAGTTTGTAACTTTAAAAACAAGTGGCCCAGCTCAAAAAGCAATGAAGCAAAACCACGAAAAAGTGAATGACCAAAGAAGCAATGTCCCAAGAGCAACAGCAGCTGCGGAAAGAGCAACTTCAGAAATGAGGGCCCCAGCTGCAAGGAGGGCGCCAACGTGTCATCCCAGTACGTCTTAAACCAACAATCAAGGATCGGGGCTCGTGACGTTCCTGGATGGTTTCTCTCTTTCTCCTTATCGTACTGCAGCCTGGGCAAACAAACAGTGCTGCTCTTGATAATGAAAGAGGTGACATTACTAATGTATTTACCGAACGAAATGTCGGATGTAATAGAATGGGATTCATCTCTTCTCCTCTTTACTCATCGGATGGCTGCAGTGCTAGG